TGAAGATGCCTTAGTCCCTGTCTCCCCAGGCCTGCAGGAGGTTGCCTGGGCAGTTCCTGAAGTTTGCTAAGATCCAACCCCACCCCCAGGAAATGACTGGGAGATTTCTAGAGACAACTCTCCTGGCCGGAAGCTGCGAAGAAGCAGGGTTCCCCTGAGCAGGTCACTTTAGAATATTTATTGCCATACTGAGGACTGAATCCAGGCCCTTCCCTTTGACTTGCCACCTCAGCCCCTTAAAAAACTATTCATTTAGAGACAAGCTCTTGCAAAATCTCTAAGTTACCCGGGCTGAGTTTCAATTTGTAATCCTCCTGCCTCAGCCTCCCAGAGTGCTGGCATCACAGGCACACACCATCATGCCCAGTGCTTCAGAATCTCTCTAAAGGATGCACTGGGCAGCAGTTCAGCCACCAGGAGGTGCTGTGCCCTTCATGCATGACTGAGGGAACCTGCCCTCCTGTCTCACTGGGGGTGCAGAGAGGCTAAGGGGAGCTGAGAAGTCTGGTGGTTGGACCCGAGCCCAAGCCTGAGCTGAAGAAGCAGCCTCCCTTCAGGTCCCAGCCACTGAGCCCTGTGTGGGTGCAGCTGGAGTTGAAAGAATGTCTGATTTCTCAACAGAAACTGGAAATCTTGATTTTATCGAAAATCTCCTGAATTATATTGAAATACTGGTATCTAATTTAATTTATACACAGCACTCTATGCCAGCCAAACAAAATACCTTTGCTGGTAGGGTGTGGCCCAACTGTCTATGGCCTCTGCCATCACCTTTGTCAAAAGGAGCTGGCTTTCAAAGGCAGTCCTTTCCCTGGCCACATGTGTGACAGAACTGCCTAGGACACAGAGGAAGGGGTGTCAAAGGAAGGCTTTTCAGTGAGGAGGCTCATCTGGGTTGTGGACCATGCTTGGTTGAGAGCGTTTGTTTATTCATTCAACAAATACTCACTGTCTGTTATGTCCCAGGCACTGGGATAGGGGGTTGCATTAATTTCCTATTGCTGTTGTATCAAATTACTATAGAATTGGGGTCTTACACCAGCAGAGATGTGTTTTGTCACAGTTCTGGTGACCAGAAGTCAGAAACCAGCATCCTGGGCCAGCCAAGGTGTTGGCTGTGCCATGCCTCTCTGGAGGCTCTGAGAACCCATTTCTTGTCTCCAGCTGCTAGTGGCTGCCAGCATCCTTTGACCCGTGGCTGCATCACTACACTTGTGCCAAACTCCTTGGCCAGGCTGCCTTCTCTTCTGAGTGTACCATCTTCTTCTGCATCTGATTTATAAGGCCCTTTGGGATGTGGTTTAGGATCCACATAATTAATCCAAGCTAATCTGCCTATTGCAAGATTCTTTTCATCACATCTTCAAAGACCCTGTCTCCTTACAGGCTCTAGGGATTAGGACCTGATATCTTCTAGCACCATCATTCTACCCATCTCAGCTCACAAAGAACCAAATGGGTCGAGTCTCTGATCTTCTAGATCTGATTTCCTAGTAGTGAAAGCAGAAAAAAACCCACAAAAGCTATTAATCTGTAATAAAATGTCAGGCTATGGAAATGCTGGAAGAACAACCCAGGTCCTTTGGCCACTGTCCCCCCAAACCTGAAGGACACTCCATGGGACTGGAGGGAAGCCTGGGCCCTCTGGGCTGCCTGGTCCTCCGGCCCAGCAGGCAGAGCTCAGGATGCCCCCAACTGCATCCCTGTGCACCTTGGCTCACACCTGTTGCAAACATTTGCTGCCACAGGCTCCCCCAACCCCGACTCAGGGAGGATGAAGAGCATGACAGGAAGGAGGAGCCCCAGGAGCAGGAAGCGCAGGCTCCTCGGGGGCTCACCTGCAGGTCTGGGCTAATGAGGACAGACTCCCTGGAGTGCCGTCCCTCCCCATTCAGCCCACTGGGAGGACCGCTCCTCTCACATGGGTGTGCGTCCGGGATTCCAGCACTGCCCGTCATCAAGCAGGTACCAGGGAGGCACAGCGGGGGCACCTTCTGCCAAGAGAGCACGCCTTTCCTGATGAGAGGGGCTGCCAGCCCTGTGTGAACGCCTCCCAGAAAGGCTCACCCTCAGCTTCTGGTCTCTTGGCCTGGTACAGCCACTGAGGCAGGAGCCCAGAAAGGCTCCCTCCGGGCAAGGCCAGTGTTAGCAGTCTCAGAGGGTCAGCTGGGCAAGGTCTGCAATGCCAAGGTCACTATACATTTCGTCAGTGACATGCTTTCTCGGTCTGCGTGCCGTCCCCTGCCAGCCCCATGCATCACCATCCTTCAGTTTCAGAAGAGGTTCTCCCTGGTGAGCGAAAGAGGAAACTGAGGCTCTGGGAGGGACCTAACTCAGCCAAACCCCTCAGGCCCCCACAGGCCCGTGTGCCATTCTCACTGGCACCAGGATGTAAATTCAATTTGTGAATCAAATCCCCCAAGCCAGCCCACATCCATCTGCCTCTCTCTGATGTCTCAGGATATTGGGAAACTCAGGAAAGGCAGTTCCCGGCTTCCCGAGCTCTGCGAGCAGCGGGGAGCCGGAGGATTCTCCCTCCTGCCCCTAGCAGTATGGGTGGACCCGACAAGTCAAGCGCTTGGTATCTCCGTTGTGAAATGACGGGGTAATCAGGCCTATTTCCTTGCCTTCCTCCCAAGGGGAGAGCTGTCTGGGCAGGTCCTCAGAAGCCAGAGAAGAGCTTTGAACTCTGGGACAGACAGGCCAAAAGGGGATGCAGGAGCTCCCTCACAGGCCCCAGGGCCAGTCTGGTTTGCAGGACAGGCCTGGCCCTGGGCCCTGGGACACCCAGGAAAACAGAGAATTAGACTTTGATTACTAAGCACCTGGTCACAGTGCCCTGAAGCAGCTAGCCTGGTGGCTGCTGAAAGAGTAGAGTCTGAGTTATCCTGGTTACACCTCCCACCAGCTGTGCAATCAAGAGCCCCTGGGGGGTTCAGTATCCCCACGCAAAAGATGGGAACAACAGCACCTCTTTCACAGGGTTTTATGAAAATTTAATATAATTTCAGCATTGCTTCTAACACATCATAGGTACTAAATTAAATGGGAAAGGGGCTGGGGATTTAGCTCAGCGGCAAAAGCGCCTGCCTGGCAAGCGCAGGGTCGTGAGTTCAGTTCCCGGTACCGGAGAAAAACCAAAAAAAAAAAAGGGAAAATGTTGCTATAATTGCAAAAGTCCTCCAGGCCAGCTGAACTCCAGCCTGGAACTTCCTGAAGGCAATACTATGATGTGTGAGCATCAGATGTTAGTGGCTGATCCCCAAATACACTATGTCGGGGTCACCAGCCCCCTGTGGCTGTGTGCCCAGCTGCTGGCCAGGGGAATGTAGGGAAAATGATGTGTTCCAGCTCCAGGCCACCGTGCAAAGTGGCACAGTCCCCCAAGAGAGGACCAGAGAGGGCAGAGCACAGAACAGACAGACCCCGCATCCCTAGGTCACCGCTGGAAAGAGCCAGCCAGGAGCACCCAGGTGGGATCAGTGCTGTGGGGAAAAGAAACGTCCAGTGCTGGAAGCCAGGAGTCAGCCAACCATGGACTGCAGACCAGACACACTCTGCTGTTTTTGTGTGGTCTTTAGATGTCAGCTCAAAATAAGTTGTGGCGTGTGTGTGTGTGTGTGTGTGTGTGTGTGTGTGTGTGTGTGACTGGGGATTGAATGGATGGCCTGAGGCCATCACACTGAGCTACAACTCCACCTGTTTTTAACTGTATTTTGAGACAGGGTCTCACCAAATTGCTAAATTGGTCAGGCTGAACTTCAACTTGGCGTTCTCTTGCCAGTGTTGGGACTGCACACCTTTTGCGCTTTTAAGAATAATTTTTTGGTGTCCACACAGAAAGTCTGACTGCAGCCCGGCCACACCCACTTGTGTGCACACACCGGTAGCCACTTCCACGCACAGAAGTGCATAGTTACTACAGCGACTGTTTGGCCTGCAAGACCTAAAGTTCTTCTCACCCGGCTCACACAGATAATGCGCCAACCTCTGTTTTCTGTAAGCAGATTGGGGGTTACCGCATTTGTTACAGAAGTGAGCTTATACTGACTAACACAATTAAAGGACCCTTTGTCCTAAAGGGATATGATAAATATTTCTAAGCTTTTGAGATATATGGCAAAATGGTCTTTTTCAAGGATTGTGCTAATTTATTCTCCTGCCAAGACCTGTGAATGGGACTATTTTCCTATTCCCTTATCAACCCTGGGCACATGATGCAACCCAAGCTCCCTTGCAGAACAAATATGGTAATTCCACCCTTATATATGGGGTTGGGGGAACCAAAATTAAATAAACAGTGAACCCAGTAAGCTCCTGACAAATGTTAGCACAGTACCCCTCATTCCATGGTTGCCTGAAATCATTCATAGCACTGAACCCTATATATATACTCTTTTTTTCACGTACATAGGAAAAATGATCAGGAAATGAATACTTAAATTTAAATTTGAGTGACTGTTTAAATTTTAAAGACATTATAGTAAAAGCTGCATTGCTATTGATGCCCCTCAAAACACTCATCCCATTGTTCTTGGCAACATGTCTTTTACTATAATGAGTTTCTTTTCATTTAAATATTCACAGTGTTTTCTGATCACCCCGCATGCATCCCTAGGATAAACTTTTATAAATTAGGCACAGTAAGAGATGAACAACAATAACTAACAATAACACAGAACTATTGTAACAACCCACCAAAATAAAAGTTATCTAAAACTTACGAGTTGTACATTTTTTGAAATTTTCCATTTCACACTTTTGGACCATGATTGACCAAAGATAACTGGAACCACAGAAAGCAAAACTGAAGATAAGGGGAGACCATTGCATTGATCTTTGGGTGCCACAGGACGTGTTCTCAGCCCCTCAGATCACAGCACAGGACGTGTTCTGTGGACGAGGCTGGTACCTCATTTTCAGAAGATCAGGGCTGGCACCCTCTCCTGGCATGGGCATCAGCCCAACTTTCCTCCATTCCCTGGGTCTCCAGAGCTCACCCTGACTTTGTAGGAAGCAGAAAGCGGCCAGATGAGGGAGGCTTGCCAGGGAAGACGACGCAGGCTGCAGGTCAGTACCCAACACTGGGAGAATGCGGAAACCCAAGTGCAGATTGGCACAGCCCTGCAAAACACAAAGAACCCTCTGTCTTCTTTGAAGATTCTATTGGTGAGATGCCAGGCAGGATTCAGGAAGATGTGGGACAATGACCAGAACACCTGAATTCCAGCACACTTGCTAGCCAGGAACTGATGTAAGGAGGAGAGCTATTTTTGGAAGCCATTTAAATGTAAAGGGCAGAGCCATAGATGGAAATTCTACCGGGCCACAGCCAGTGCTTCTGTGAAAGGAAAAAGGAGGAAGAGGAGAGGGAAGGGCTAGCTCTTGCTACCCACCGTGGCCAAGTGTTAACTAGGTCAGAACCTTGGGAGCTTCTTGCTAAATTATTGGTAATTTAAATTAGCCCATGGTAGAAGTATTTACACCACAGAAATTGGCAAAGGCCACAGACAAGGGCTTATAACTTTTTCAGGGATCAGTACATACAACTAGGTGTAGGAAGGAGAGAAACGAGAAGAAAAGAGTTCATTTAGAATGGTGCCAAAGACCCAGTAGGGAAAGAGCAACTCAGAAGAGAAGAAAAGATGTACAATAGCCTTATGAGGTTGATAGTTCTCCCTTAGGAAAATCATTCAAATGTGGCCCAGACAAGTTAAGCAACTTAGTCAAAGTCACACAGCTAATAAATGTCAGAGTTGGAATTTTAACCCAGGTGTGGCTGGTAACAATGGCTTATTTTGTTTTGTATTTGCATTCTCCCAGTAACCAGTGAATTAATTAAATGCAATGTTTGAAATGCAATGTCTTCGGGATTAGTTCTATAAATTGCTCAAAAAGTTCTGAATCCACAGGTTAGAATCAGGCCTTGCTTTTGCCTTGGTTGCCAATGGCTTTGTTTTCACAACCCAAATACACCCTCAAAGGACCCAAATTAACTATCATTAAGGATTTTCTGTGTGACTAACTGTGCATGCATAATCCTGGAAGCCAGTTCCAAAGACTGCTTTTGCGAATGCTTTGGCCTTATCTCCGGAAAAATGAGTAACTTTTTCAAGGGTCCAAAAGAAACATTCATTCAGGAGGCAACAATCCCGGTATAGTCACCAAATCCAGGGAGAAGTTGGTGACTCTGAAGGGAAGGCCTTGGAGTCTCGGGCCCTGCTGGCTCTATCAGACTCTTGGGAGAGCGTCATGGAGAGGGAGGCTGGGTTTGCTGGAGACCTGCCAAGCCTCTGTTTTCTGTTGCCAGGGACAGCCATTTGCACAGACAAGCGTTATTGGGATGACCCACCTTCCTTCAGCCAGTTAGGCTAAATACAAAACCTTAGGTTTCAGAAATACTTCTCATTTTTACCTAAGTACTCCGTGCTTCTTCTGAGGTCGGATTCAACACCAATAACCAGAAGCTGGAAGGGATGATTCATTCAAACAGCACATTTATTGATTTTTGAAATAGACCACAGACCTTTGTCCATATAAAACTCATTTTACCTCCTTTTCAGAATTCAGAGTTGTCAAGCCAGCTTAGTCCTGATTGTCAGCTCATCCCAGTCTGTACTCACGGGTCTGTTTGTTGATTTGAGGACTAGGAAACCCTTGACATCCACATTGTCAGCTTTGTCTCTTCCTGGGTGGAGGCTTCAGCTAGCTTGACTTGACTGCTTGTGGTTCTCCACACTTGGGCAGGGCCTTTCTGCACGGTTTATTGGGGCAATTAGTCCTCAGAAGGATATTGCAGAAATACCTACAAAGTAGAATCCGGAGACATCTTCTTCCAAAGGGACAGTGTCCAACCAACAAGCTGCAGCACACCTGGAGAGTGGCACTGGATTCTCCACCTTTAAGGCAGAGCCTGTAGCTCTGCCCAGTCCCAGCTGAGGCTGGGAGCATCTTTGCTGTGGACACGGTGGGCTGGGGAATCTGGCTGACACAGCCATGGGGCACCGTGCCAGTGCGAAGGGGATAACTGGCCTGGAATTACCCTCCTTTTGTGTCTAATCTTAGATAAGGCTCAGACAAGTTAACAATACTATTTACATATTGAGGCTGTTTCAATAATTTGTAGATACTCATCTCTTCTGGAATGTCCATGAGCAATTTGTCTCAGTATCTCTATGTCACTGAGACAGAGAGCTTGGCTCTGCCCATGAGAGGATTAGTCACTTGTATAAATAGGGATAAAAACGGCTTGAGGAAATAGATTCTGTGAGACTCAAAACGGGATTACCAAGAACTGAAATGTTCACCGGAGAAGCACATCACGCCAGTGCCTTCCACCCACCTCCCACTCCCACCAGCGTTGTGGACAATGAACAATAGTGAAGAATGTGCTCGGCATGACACCACTGACATTTCCTTTTCCCAGTTAACCAGCTCAGCTTCGCTCACCCATTCGTTCACTCACCCCGACCCGTTCATGCATTCATTCCTTAGTCCACCTGACTCCCAGTTCCCACCGTGCCATGACCCTTTCACCCGGCTCTGTGGGACTCCTCAACATCTCCTCTGAGTCTTCCCTTCACTGGAACCTGGGTGCGTCCTTCCCTGAGCGCCCCATTTTCCAGAAAGTCTCCCCATCAGGGAGAGGGCCACTGGCACAAAAGAAAGTTGGGATGGGCTTCGAAGGAAGATGGGAGCTCCCCGCTGCTGTTTCTGCTCTGCTCTCTTCCCGTCAACCTCATTTCACCAAAGACAGGTGCACCAGTTCGCTGGCTTCATCCCACAGGCCAAGTGATGACTGACCTCTACCCCCGCGGCCAGTCAGGTCCTGGCCTCCGCTCCACCATGCCCTCTTCTTCCCCTCCCTCCCCTGCTTTGTTCCCATGGTCTCACCCCCGCCGCTGTTGCTCACAATGCCCCAGATCTGTGGTCTCCATCTCCGGCATTGCTCTGTGGCCACGGTACTCTGTCCTTCCAGTGCCCTTACTCAACATTCCTGCTGCTGCCGTTCACTGTCTTCCGCTTCTCTTCCGTCCCTCCTTCCCCATGATGACCTCTCACTCCCCAGCTGGACCTAGCCTCAAGTGGTCCCCACTATTTGCATTCTGCATGTGTTTGTTCTACCAGAGAAACTCTCCCAACCAGGTTGACTGGTTTCCCCTGAGTCCATGAGAGCGAGACTCAGGGGACCCCAGCACTGCGCAGCTTCTGACTCTGTCCCCTCTAGAGGTGATTTCCCTGCTCTCTGCAGTTTCATGCTCTCTTCTATCCCACACCCCATCCTCAGGGTGCCCTCTTCTTCCGCTCCATGTGTGAACCGCTGAAGCCAGCAAGGGATTTCCCACAACTTGGCCCACCTGTCTTCCCCCGTCCCGGGAAAGGTGTCCACACTCCCTTCCCACACGCTCATCCTTGCATGACACCTGCTGCCCAACCCTGCAACCCTTCCCTGTCCGCTTGGCCTCTGCCTCCCCACAGGATGGCTCCTCTTGGCACAGAAGAACACCCTCCTGCACCTTCCAGCCTGAGGAAGTACACCCGGGACACCACGCCCTCCACTTCACTTCTCTCTCATTTCTCTGTCCTCCCTCACAGCCCGGTGTCTCCAAGTGTCCATCGGAAGCTGCTGTCTCCCCTTCCACACCTCTGCCACCCAATATGACTTCCACCCCCGACCCACTGAAACTGCCCTTATCAGGGTCACCATGGTGTCCTCGTTCACGAATCCTGTGGCCACCGCGTCTGCTGCTCCTTATCTCACAGTTTCCTCTCTTACTTCTTGGGCCTCTCACCCACTGGGTTTCCTCCTGCTGGGTTTCCCCTCTGTGCTTCGACTTCATTTTAGGGCTCCTCGTTCTCTGCCCAGTGTTGAATACTACAGCTCGGGGCGGGTTCTGGGCTCTCTCCTCTTTTCCGTCTGTCTGTCCACAGGATCACATTCAGACTCTCAGTTGTAAACACTTTCTATTTGCTGAGGGTCCTGAGAGGATGTCTCCAGACCTTGCCCTTGACCCCTGTATTCTTATATACAGCTGCTTCTTTGGAGTCCCCACTTGGGTGTCTGGGAAAGAATATGACCAAAACGCACTTGTTAAATCCCCTCTTCTCCCCTGGAAAAGCAAAGCAAAACAAGCGCATCTATTCTCAATGCTTCCTGGGCCTGCTGCCAGGACAGCCTAGAGCATTACCTCCAGACATCTGAGTCAGATGGGTCTCAGGTCCTTTGGGTTTTGATGACAGAGGGGACAGGGAAATACTTGTGGTCTAGTAAGGTGTCATGGCAGCTCTGCCCTCAGCCGCCTCTCATATTCTGTGGCCTCCATCCATCTATCCATTGCCATGCAGACCCTGCATCCCTGCCTGTCCCCTGGGCCTCCACCCTTCTTTGTCAGCAGTGCCCTGTTTCCTCTGAAGAGCATACCTGCTCTCTTCCCTCGGTCTTCCTGTCTTAGCTCAGGGAGATCCAAGCCCTCAGCTACTTGACAATGGGCAGGTGACCCAGTGGGTCACCCAAACTAATCTACTCTATGTCCATGGGTAGATGATCTGAGCAAGATCAAAAAGACCAAATCCCAAGACTGGAGCTGCTAGAAATGTGGAGCTCTCCAGCGGAGAAGAGGGAGTCCTGGTGATCTTATTTAAAACCCTGAATCCAGCTGGCCCTCAATTTATTTCTGAATCTTTCAGTTATAGGGGCCAATGAACCTGCTCACTTCATTTTTACATAAATGAGTTTGATTGGCATTTTGTTTTGTTTTGTTTTTATAAAACTGGAGATTGAACACAGGGCCTTTGCACTGAGCTAAATCTCTACGATTGCCCCCCACTTAATCTTTTTAAACTTTGAGACAGAGTCTTGATAAGTCACTAAATTGCTAAGGCTGGGTAACTTGAACTTGCCATCTTCCTGCCTCAGCTTCCCAGGTAGCTGGATGATAGGCATGCACTATCATGCCAGGCTGGTTAGGATTTTTTTACTCAATGCTTCCTGGGCCTCAAAGAGCTCAGGTTAATGCATCAACCATTCATTCATTTGCTCCTGTCACTAAAGCCATAAATCCCCCCATCCCACCCCATTTCCTGTGGTATCAAGACCTGGCATGTACAATTCCGTAATTGGCCCCCACCTGAAAATTCCTAAGACTCTCCTTGTATGAGTGTTTTATATTAAGGAAGCTAATTTCCTTCTAGTTCCCTTCAGAAATCATATTCTACTTTCAACCCTTGCTTCGCATACCCCACCATCCTTATGGCTCATCTCACACTCATGGCCCCTCTAAGAATCACCCAAAACCCTGGCTCAGGATGGTCGATCATTCTGCAGCAGCACTTCTGAGCAGCCACTTCTCCCTCGCTGGTCCTGGCTTCTCCAGTCTTAGAGGACAAAGGGTTAGTAGGAAGAGGGGCAGGAAGAGAAGCTGGAACTACCTCAGGATGCTCTTGGTTTTCGGGGCCAGGAGATTACAGCTCCTAGCGAGGAAGGGGCAGAAGAGACCGTCGAGGACAACGCATTTTGGAGGGACTTCTAACCCACTGCCTCTCCTGCCAGGAGCAAGCCGCAGGCAGACGAAGTTCTGTAGGATGGCTCACGAGTAACGACTCCAACATGGTGCCTTTCTCTCCATCACCCCACCCCATCCCTGGGTGGGCACTGGACTTCAGCATCCAAATGGCTGGAGAAATGGCCTGCATCCTTGGGAGCAGGGAGCCAACCCAGGGCCCACCCAGAAGCTTGGGAGGGTGCTGCTGAGACAGTGGATGGAAAGCAGTGCCCAGCTACTTGGCTTCCAGCTCCCAGGCCTGGTGGTCGCCAGCCAGGTCAGCCTTGTCACTGGCCACTGAGCAGATGTGGGTTCAGTGCCAAGGGCTGTTGGGTTTCCTCGGGAGGGCTGAGCATGTCTCCATTTGATGACAGAAGGTCAGACTGATGGCCCTCGAACCAGAGCCTCATGGCTTCTGTCCAGTAAACACTCCGAGCTTCATTAATTCTTTCCACGAACATAGATTGATGGCCAGGCTCTGTGCCAGTGTAAGATAGAACCAGACCTTGTTTTCCGGGCTTGTCGGGAGATAGACACTTGCACAAGAGTGCAGGCACACTGAGGGTAGGAGCAGGCGAGACAAAGCCCTCTGCCAGGCTGTGACTTTGTGGAGAGGCCCAATGGCCTCCTGCCTGTGCTTGGCCTGTGGGGATCTGTGGGGCAGCTGCTCCTCCCTCTCTGCACCCACCTTACCCGGCCCATTTCTTTGCACTGGGGCACTTGATCTTTCTAGGTGCTTCTGGGTTTACCAGGAGGGCAAAATCCGGGGTCCTGCACCAGACCCAGCGGTAGTACAGACCCAGGAGCCCCTTTTCACCAAATCTGCCTCCTCCTCTGGCTCCTTTCCACCTATTCTTCTCTCTTGTCGCAGAAACCTGATGTTCTGAGCTGGGACCTCACTTATCCATCCCTAGCACATATGGGGAGGGCATTGGGAGGACTACGCTCCTACGCTCCTGACAGGTAGCACGCAAAGACAGGAATTATAGGCTTCAGCCTCAGAAAGATCAGGGTTTAAATCCCAGTTTGGCCCTGGGCAAGGATGATGTGAAAGGATTGGGAGTTTAGACTGAGCCAGAGTGCCTGGGGCCAAATTCCAGTACTGCCACCCACAAACTGTGTCACAATGTGTCACACCTAACGTTTCTGTGTCCCCATTTCCTCCTCTGTAAAGTGAAGATCGCGGAAGTCTCCACTATGGCATTGTTAAGGGGACTCATTGGGTGAATTTGTATGAAGTGCTTAAAACAGAGTGTGCCGCAGGAAGCACTTAGGTATTGTTAGTTATTATTACCTGCAGTTACTATCCCTTTACCAGGCACACAAAGAGATCTAAATGGGCTAATCACTGAGCAATGTTGAGTAGGAGCCTGACAAATACTAGTGTACTTTCGTCCACATTTTCCTGATAAGACAACGAACACACGGAAGACAAGCATCTGCTACCTCCGCCAACCCCACCGGCTCAAGGGGCTGCGGGGAGGGGACTGTCCCAGGTCTGTTCCTGCAGCCCCTAAGGGGGTAGATTTCATTTGGGCAACCCCCGCCAAGTCCTATACCGGGGCATCAGAGATTCTTGAGATAATGTCACTTTAAACTCACCCCACTGTTTAAATTCAGTGGACCCTGGAGTTAGGAACTCGATTCATTCCCAGGGGTTGGTTGTAATTCAAATTGTCAATTGAAGGCTCAGGCTCCTCTACGCAGCCTTCAAAGTCTCTCTTTTGTGTACAGGCAGATCTCGGTGTCCTTAGAGAGACATTGGCCCAGGATTTCTCAATTAACCCCATACAGGAAGGGATGTTGCAATGTGCCTTCCAGAACCCTTTAAGCATTAAATCTGTATCTGAGACCATGTGGCTGGCATCTGTATCATAACGCAAGACTTTGGTCATAAGTTAAAACTATAATTCTGGTCATAACCCAAGTTGCTCATATGTTAGCCTGGTTGTAACTTGAGGGTCTATTGTATAGTTTTTTAAAAGGTGTCTTAAAGAAAAAAAGAAAGAAAGAAACAGGAAAGCAAGGTAAAGTGGAAGAAGGAGTCCTATGGGGCTGTGGGAGCTTGGCCGGCCAGATGCGGGCATCAGGGAGCACCAAGTGGTCCAGAAGACAGTCCTGAAGTGGTTTCCATGAGCAGCTTGACCATGGACTTTCGCATCAGGCACTGGCCCAGCATCAGGCTCCGAAGAGCCTTCTTCTCTGTGGCCGCTGTGATGCCCAGTCCCTGTCTGCGGGAGAAAGGGAAATGTCACCTAGAAGGCCTTGGGCACACAGCCTGCAACAGACCCTATGCATGGCTGAGGGTGGGCAGTGGTCACCTGAGATCCCACAGTCATCTGCGTGTGTGCTTGGGGATTCCAGGGTGGAGCTCATACCCTTTGCCTCTCCCTCAACCCAGCATAGCACCCTGATGTGCTGACTAGACACCCAGGGGGGCCTGTGAGCCAGGAAAGTGACTCAGAAGTCACTGCATTTCAAATTCACACCAGCTTCCCCCTGATACATCCATCTAAACAGTAACTCGGCTCTCACTGGGCTTCAGGCCAGGGCTCGGTTTCCCCTTGCTCTCCTCTTCTGATCCCTGGCCTCGTCTGCAGCTTCATTTGGCAGGGTCCTCTCATGCCTGGCGGAGGGCACTCACAGGCACCCAGGGCTGGGCCAGCTGAGGTGAGAGCCAAGGAACAGGTAGCCCGGGCCAAGACAGGTAAGGCAGGTGGCAGTGGACGAGGTCTGCCGGGGAGAGGTGTGAGCTGGTGAGTCACTCCAGAGGAATCTCTGGTGGTATAAATAGGCCTCGCTGGCAGTGATGGGAGCTGGAACGATAAAGGGCTATTGTGGGAACAGCTTCCTGATAGTTACTGTACCTTGAATAATCGCTCCAAGGGAATTCCAGGCTGCAGCCAGCTCCAAGCTCCTTGCGTGCCAGAGCCAGCCTTGTGAAGCACAGTGGGTGCCCAGCAGCCTGGGGGCTGCACCTAAATGATGCCATTTAATTGTTCTGCACCCCAGCCTACCAGATAAGTATGCTTAGCCCCAGTGGAGAGACCGATAAACAGGCCGGGAGAGGCTGCTGCCCAGCCTCCGGGCACCACAGCTGAGTCGGAACAGCCTCTGCTTAGCAGCGAGGCCTCTGCTACCTCAGCCAGGCCATGGGGCTTCCAGCAACCCCAAAACGAGGATGCCATATACTGTGATAGCCAGGTATTGCTGATGGAGTCTGGCCAACCAGAGACTCCACTGAGATTCAGGTTCGAGGCCAGCTATGGAATATGGTGGCCAGGAAGAGTAGTGGTTGGAAATCTGTTGTGAAGATCTGTTAATTTTTTTTTTTAACCTTTATTTCTTTTAAGGGAAGGCTTCCTATAGGAATTCAGCAAAGGGCCAATTCTGAGCTATAAGATCTTCTCACTTCTATTCACTTATGTGGGTCAGTCTGTGTCTGTCCGTGTGTGCAGCACGAGAGGCCTGGAGAACATTCCAGAATTCCCTGGGCCACACAGCCAGGCCCACTCCAGCCCTTTCTATCACTCCTCAAATGCAGTGTGGCTAGGTCTGGCTGGATGGCCACCAGTGGCCTCAGGAGGGACCAGGACACGGTCTTCTTAGGATCCTTCCTGGTTCCCCAGGGACTCAGCCTAACAGGCAGGAATGTGCACATACCCAGCCACGTGGGCCTTGGACATTGGGAGTGAGTGATGTCAGTACCCGGGAGAGAGCACCCTTTGGACTTCTGTGGGCTCCAAGGTGTGGCAAGGATGGAGTCTGGCAAAGTTGCACCTGCTTCCCCAAGCGCATGGGCACAGGCTGGAGCAAGCCAACCCCATCTACACAGCAAGACCAGGAGGCACTTGTAGCCCTAAAAGGCAAACTTGTGGGTTTTGTTAGCTTGATTTTGTTTTTTCATACACACAGTAAACAGCCATCTCTCCTTACAAAAGCTGTCAATGAGGGATACATTTGAGGGAGGAAGGGGGTCTGCCTGTCTAGAAAGTGGTTTTCAACAGGACGTCTGAGGAAGGTCCTTTCCACTGTGGAGGCTTTAGATGGAGCTGGCTACAGCTTGAACACACTAGCTTCTCTGAGCCATCCCTTAAAGTTCTTGCCTTTTCCTTAACATCCCAGGCTGACATCGCTGCAAACTGAACCTCAGGGCCACCTTCTTACTCGGGCTCTTCAAGCCCTGTGGCTCCTCTAAACCTCGGACATCAGACACACACATTAGAACCAAGTGTAGCAGCTGTGGGTTAAAATAGATTTGACCTCAACAAACAGACCTTCAATGAAGCGGCAGGAATGTCTGGGCAATGTCTGTGAGCTTGTTTGCTGTAATCTCCCAGGAACAGAAATGCAGACTAGCGGGCCACATGGAACCCCAGAACCACAGAATCCCCACCTACTTGCCTGTCCCTGCCCTCCTCTGAGGCTGAGTCGTGGATACCTAAAACACCAAATTTTAAAGAGGCCAAAGAGGCACCAAGCATCGTATATCAGCCTATGGCCTCCAGCTCCATTAAAGTTACCGCGACATTTGTCCAACAACCCAACATAGGAAAGCCACTGCTACCGTAGCAAGCGCAGCCTGAAGGACTTAAAGAAGGAGATCTGCACGATCTGAGCATGGTGCATCGGCATGGAAGAGACACACCCAGGAACAGTCAGCATTCGCTCGAGGGCCAACAGCTGCTCTCTTGACTGACCAGCTGGAGTCCAGACACAGAGCCTGCTGCCCCACGTGGCACACACACCTTCCCCCCCAAATGGCTGCTTAGGAGGGACTGAGCCAAAAACAAGAACTTGATCCCTGGGCTGCATGACAAATGGGTTAGAGCACAGCAGGGCCATCTTGGAGTCAGGTTGGTGTCCTTTCTGCAAGAGCATGGCTCATCCAGGCCACTAGACCTTATGCTTGGGGATTTTGGTGCAGATGTAACCCTTGAGAGATGCAGCTGCCTCCTCCTGCTAGAGCTGAACTAGGGGAGCATTCCCTAAACTGAACACCAGCAAGTCCCCTTGACTTTCCTTTTGCTTGCTTTTCCTGAAATTCCATCCACGTATGGGGCAGTGGGCATCCCGGTTTGGTACACACCTTCAAGAGTCTCCTGCTGAGCCCCAGCTCCTACATACTTGTTCTTCAGGACATCCTATGTCTGTTCCGCAGATGCTTCAAACTCTCTATGTCCAAATAAGCTGACTTCATTCCAACATTCTGTCTTGGCCTCAGGCCAACTGCCCTTCTACATTCTTTATCTTGATGAATCTAACCTAACACAAGGTCAGAAATTTCTACCAGTCCTCACTAACTCCACCATCGCCACTGACAACATAACCACCACTCTCACCTCTACTTCCACATCCACCACATCATCACCTCTACCACCACTAGCACTTCTACCTCTGTGTGCACTTCCACCACCAGCGGCATCTCCACCACCACGACCTCTACCAACATCACCCCTCTTCTGCCTGCACTACCACCTCCCCGACTACTACCACTGCACCTCCATCTCCACCTCTACCACCACAACACTTACGCCCACCACCACCTTCTCCACCACCACTATCACTATCACCATCGTCATCACCACAATTACCTCCACCTCCTTCTCCATGACCTTCACCACTGCCGCACATCCATGCACAAACATGCATGTATACATACACATGCACACACACACACACTCCTGCTGAGTCATCGGTTCTAATGATCATCTCCCCTAACTTCCTCCGGAGCCTGCCCCTTCCCTGCCCAACACTGACTGAACTGAGAACTAGTCTACTCAGTCATGCCACATCAGCTCTGCATCCAGCATCTCCTTCTCTCCCATCTGGCTTCTACACACAGTCCTGCAATGGTTCCGCACCCCCTGCTCCCACACTCACCAAACTGGGCCCTAAAAACAGTCTTGGTTAAATGTGGGAAATGCTGGCTTAAAAATTTAAGTACCTTACTATTGCAGTGTTTGTCAGGGGCTTTAATATGATGGGCACTGGGACCCAGTGAAGAGAACGGAGCAGATTGCTCATAATTTTTGCTGGCGCTCCCATGGGCAGAAAGGACCCAAGGTATCTCTTTGGCTGTGGATTCCTCTCTTCTATGTCAGAAAGCCCCTTCTCTGATATTGAGCCTCCCTTTCCTTTCCTTACACACCTTCCAAGGTTGATGATCACTCCCTGCCCTTTATTCTTTCCTTACTGCCTAATACCACAGCCTCTTGTCTCTGTTTCTGATTTCTCCACTGGCTTAGAAGCTCCTTAAGTGCAGGAAACAATGGCGATTTCCTAGGCCAACACAGCACCTGAGAAATGGTTGCCTCATCAGAGTTTATGGAATGTCTATGGTATATTTACTGATATGGGCAAAAAAAGTCAAGGCAAAATCAGGAGTCTCCTGCTGGGACTTGCCAATGTCCTGCATGTCATCCTCCCCCTTTTCACCCTGCCCGCTGCCCCCTGGACCCTGCTGCCCCCAACAACACAAACCGCTAAACTCATCCTGGCACAGTCCGGGTTTCAGACCCCTCACCTCTCTGCAGAATTGTTTGGAATCTGGTCTCTCTGAAACACCCTGCAGTGTGGCCCTGCCTGGTTTTCCTCCCACTTCTCAGACACTCTGTCCTGGTCTCCTTTATGAAAAGGAGATGATCACTAGAACCGGATGACTCCAGCCCTTTCCCCTCTTCCGGTCAATGCCGGTGTCCTTCCGGCCTGGCCCTGGTTCTCTTCCTCTGTTCCTCAGCTCTTCCTGACTCTTCATGCTACCTCTCTGGCTTTGGCTACTCCTGGACCTCCAATGACTGCCTCTCAGACACACCCCCGCATGCCCTCTGCTGACCTTCAGGTCTTGTCTTGTCGGCTGCCCACTTGACTAATGCCCTTTGTTATCTCACTGGCACCTCACTTTCAACTTAGTTAAAATATTAACTCCTGATCTTCCCCCTCAGATTTAATCCACCTCCGCTTCTCCCTTCCCCAGAGACAGCACGGTCATCCGCCCAACTCACTTATTCCCCCAGCTTTGCCAACAGCTAGTCCTCTATACAGGTCTTTGAAAAAATTATGATGATAAGAATAACTGACATGTGACACATACCTTAAAAGTATACATTGTTAGCTGTAGGGAAAGCACTGTACAGTAAATCTCTAGACCTTGCACATCTTGCTCAGTTGGAACTTTATGCTTGTTGTTTAGGGACTTCTTATTTCCCCCACCCTCTAGACCCCGGTAACTTCCCCTCTCTGGGTGTATAAATCTCACTCTTTTAGATATATATGTGAATCATGCCGCACTTGCCTTCTGTGACTGGCTTGCTTATTTCACTTAGCATAACATCCTCTGGGTTGATACATGCTGTGGTATATGGCAGGATTTCCTTCTTTTCTAAAGCTGAATAATATTCCATTGTGTATATAGCACATTTTTTTTTTTTTTTTTTTTTTTTTTTTTTTTTTTGGTTTTTCTCCGGTACCAGGAATTGAACTCACGACCTTGCGCTTGCCAGGCAGGCGCTTTGCCGCTGAGCTAAATCCCCAGCCCCTATAGCACATTTTCTTTATCCAGCCATTGGCTGATGGACAGTTAGATTGACTCTTTGTGTGACCCTCTACAGCTGGAAGGCACTGCAGGCCCTTCCCATTGACAGTTTTGTCTGTGGCAAAGATGGCAGAGGGGTGGACTCCAGCCAGGCACAGCCCTCCAGGTTTTCTCATCACAATCACGATTCCTCCCTTTCCCTCCCACGTACATCCAGGGTCCTCAGATTTAAACTAGTGCCTCCAGCTGGTGAGTCACTGCCCAGGCACGCAGTGGGTACTCATTAACTAATACTTCTTGAATATTTTCTAGGTGCCCAGCTGGGATTTCCATCCTCTGCCTGTGGCTTCTCAACCTGGAGATATCTTAGACAGCCTCTGTCCCTCAGTTGGAAGCCTTGACTCCTCTCACAACTGGCTCAGGCTACTCCTGTCTGGTCTGGCTTCTGCCTCTGTCTCTCCATCCATGGAGTCTCCGATCAGCCTGCTATGTTCTTACCCGGTGCGACAGCTGCCTTTCTTCTCATCGCCTCCCTGAAGGTCTTTCTTTCTACATCCCATCCTTCCTTCCCTCTGCTTCCAAAGCCCACAGACAGCTCAGGACCCTGCATTCATCCAATCACACACCATTTGGATGGAAATAGTCCAGCCTTACCTGACTGGATGTCTTTCCCAGTCGGCTTCCACCATGTCCCCAAATAACACATCCATGCCGAGGCCTTCTGCCTGAGACACACCAAACCACTCCCTGCTCCAGTCTGGGTAAGGCTGTGATTCTCACCATCATGCTTTCCTTCACGCTGGTCCTTCTTTATGGGATCTTCTTTCCTCATTTCTCTAGCCCATGAACTCCTCTTCATACTGCAAAACCCAATTCTAACATCAATCCTTGTGACATCAGCCTTGGTCACCCCACTCCTTTACCTCTCTTTCCAGAGCAGGTTGAACACGTACCCACTGTGGCACTCATGGTTTTGTTTTGTGATCCTTTGCCCATTAGCCACTCTGTCCCATGGGAGCACCAAAGATTCCCAAAGCCAGCATGCACTAAATCTACTGACAGTGCCCACTCCGTGTCCAAGATTCTCATTTACGAGCAGAAGAATGTGCATTTTAACAAGCACACCAGGTTGTCTTGAGGCAGGTGGTCCTGGGTCCCACACGAGAGGGCTGTTTCCCTGGGGCCCAGGCTGGGGAACCTTATCTTTTTCTGGGGAGGGTGTCCCTGGTCCCAGCTGAGTGTCTACTGCAGTCAGATAAGAGAGCTAGAGCCAAGGGCACTGGCTGACAGCGTGACTGCCCCCCTTGCACAAGCCAAGTGGCTATGGCAAGGTCCTCAGCCTCTCCGAAGCTCAGAAAGACCATGGAAAACTGGAGAACACAAAACACCTGGCCATGGTTTTGAGACCCAACACACCCTCTGTGGACACAATTAAATCTATGGCAACAAGTGCTTCTTGTGGGTTTCCACTAGTGCTGAGGCCTCACCCTGGTCACAGTCTAAGATACTTTCTTTTTTTTTTTATTTTAAAAATAAAAGGAGGAAAACATTAACAGACAGACAACCTTTTACAAAATAGCAAAAGAACGGTACAAACAATACAGAGTTACAAACAAAGTGGTAGGAAATTAACAATGCTTGTTGTATTACATATTGATATCTTCCAAGTGGTTTCTCATGAAAACAGATACAGACATGCAATAGTGATTAATCAAGGACTCATTGACAGTTTCTTTCAGCAAAGAAATAGAAGACAGAAGAACAACTGTGTTAACTATCC